AACTCCAAATATACAGCAAGCGTCAGGGTCAGGGATCGAATCCACGACCTCCTGTATATCAGGCGAGGTAGTTAACATCTCGCTACCACGGCGCCACACAGGGCATGTCCATGCTGCGCTTTCGCAACACGCACCTTGCGAACCACAGCCCAAGTTGGGGGCATTATTCTCGTCTGGTAATCTGCGAGTGATCGGTTAGGGTTAGGCCGGGACCTAGTTGCTATATTTTCCGGGTCGCTGCCAGGCCAGAGTACGTGACACGTGACCAGTAGCCACAGCCACAGTGAGAGTTATCCTGGATATGGTTTGCTGTGTTACAGAAATACATTCCGGGTCGCTCAACCAGACAGACCTGGCTGAAATGAAGCCCTGGGGGTTAGGGTTAGAGCTCTACAATGATCAAGTTTAGGTAACACAAGCAATTACAATCTAAAGGTCATAGATCACCACTGTATACAATTGGGCTGCCACCTGTCCTAGATTTCCCAGGATCATCCTCTAGTTGAGGTAGTAGCCGTTGTGGAAAATCTGCTAGTGTCCCCAGGGCATTAAAAGTAAAAAAAAGTTGTCAGTTGTGTAACAATACACCACTCACGACAATGGCATTTATTCCAGTATTGTGAGATGCTCTGGTTCCCGTGATATGACCTGGCCTTTTTTTACACTTCAGGGATGGCAACCCCCCATATGAAACTATTTAAAACTATGAAACATTTGTTTTTGTTTTCCATGTAAGACCTACTGAGCTATAAATCCTTTTTTCAGAAGCGACATGGCTATCACAAATCATCGCTCAACGAAGTGGCTTATCACGTGGAAATTTACAGCAGCCCAATACTCTAAACACTCGGCGAGTCTAAATGTGGGGGAAAAACCCGAGGAACCTGCGAAAAATCCATGTGACCACGGGGAGACACGCAAACTCCAAATATACATGCATCAGGTTTGGGATTGAACCCATGACCTCCTGCATACCAGGCGAGAAAGTTAACATCTCGCCGCCGTGGCTCCCCATGTATGCGATCGTCCACCGACCGGGGAAAAAACCCTGCGTGCGCGAGTACGCTCTGACCATCGCATGCGCACAAGACGACGACGATTATTATTATTATTACGGTGTCCCGCGTCTGCCGTGCCGTTTGCGCCAAGGTAACCGAGCCGGTCTGGCACAGCCAGGCCATAACTCCGTGTGACCGCTCGCGGCCCTGCCCCGGGGTCAATTTGCACCACGCGTTCGTGCCCAGCGGCTCGGTTGGCGACACAGTGAATTTGCAGCGGTTGTGAATTTGTTTTGCGCACAGAGAGAAGCGCCCCCCCCCACCCCACCCCCATTGAATTTCCGTCAAAGCTCTATTCACCGCAAAGGCACTCGCCTCGACGGCAGCAACGCGCGTTCACAGCATTGTTGATCGGGATTTTCGAAGCCATCAAACGCTCGCTCCCTTGCACTCCCTCCCTCCCCCCGCGCGCGCGCGCGCGCGCGGAATAACGGGCGGTCACACGGACGCCGCACATTATCACCAAGTTTTTTGGCGTCTTTTTTTGTTGTTGTTGCGACAAGCGGTGTCCCCAAGCGTGCTCACGTGTGACCGGTCAGTCGACACAACCGCTTCCTTTGAGCTCATTTAACGTGAGTCGTGAGTGAAAGTGTGCCCCCCCCCCCCCCGCGCTTCCCAGAGCACCCCCGCGAGTTTATATCCACAAATACATCGACGGATCACTATGCACGACCGGGAACACGGTCAATGTATGGCGTCTGACGCTGTAGTTTTGCACGCATTCGCTTAAATGCGCCCCCATCCCGTAAAAAAAGAAAAAGTAAGCCGTTTATGGTGAATGAGGACCGACCAACAGGTGGCAGATTCCAAAATGTTTCTGACTGGTCTTTTGTGGTTCCCCATCCTCTCCCTACAAATGCGGCTTTTTCAGTCTGCCACCCGCCCCCGCGTCTCCCCCCCCCCACATACCCCCAGGCTAAGTCGATGCCTTCCTCCCTTGTGAATCCTCCACTGAACAGGGAGCTGCCTGGTGCCCTGCCTCGAACCCAGCGGTTCTCAACACACGGGTCGCGCCGACAACCCCTCCACCCCACCGCATTGCCCAACCCTGCCAGGAGAACACGAAAGCCTTTTAAGGGAGGGCGAAGGCTGCGGCATGGATACCGTGCAAGATAAGTAATCGAATGTGCGCGGAGAACGCCAGCGCCGCTTCGTGGCGACAGGACGAAGCAAATACATGACGCGAAACGAATGCCTTCATATCGCTAAATCATACGAATACACGGCGCGAAACGAGTGCCTTACTAACGCCGCCTGGAAATGTGATCACTCTGTGTGCCGCGGCCCGAGTGAGTTGAGGGGGCCCATGGTGTGGTGGCTGGAGCGGTGGTGGTGGTGGGGGGGGGGGGCATGTGGCCTGAACGTGCCAAATGCTTGTCGAATCTCAGAAGCCACGAGCCTGATTCGTGCTTGCAATGGAAGACTGCCTGGGAAACACCGGGTGTTATAGGTGTGAGGAGGGGAGCGAAGAGGTGGCCAGGAAATGGCAGTGCTGAGTGTCGGCCCCTCATGTGTGGGGTTTTTTTACGAGTTCTCTGGTTCACTTCCTCATGCCACTCATTAATGGAATTGGTGAAACACATCCCAATGCAGCAGGATCAACATGAAAAAAAAAACGTCTTAAGGTTCAGTGGGGGTTTTCTAGATTCAGTTTTAGTTGCAGTTAACTTTGAAGTAAACTATTTTATTTCACTCGGTAAAGCCTACTGAGCTTTGTAGTTCGTCTTCAGAAGTGACGTGGCCAACACACGATAGCTCATCAAAGTGGCATATTACCACGTGGGAATTTATCATTTAAAGCGCACCAGTATTAGTATTATTGCTACAATATTAACGGACACTGGGCTGAAGAGACTTAACTATGTGTCCCCCCCCCACCCTACCTCTGGCCTTGCCTATCCACAAACCAACAATGATGGGTGATCACCACTGCCAGTCACAACTGGGCTGAGCATGCATTGGCTTTTTAAATCATACACATCATGAGCTGCACACAATTGTGTTTGGATGTGTCCTCTGAAAATCTTGACAACTATACCGATCAAAATCAAACTAAGTTTACAAAAAAGGTAATTCTTCAGTCACTCTTCAACTACACAAATGTCTAACACGTGTGTGCACTCTGGTTGCAATGATAACTGATTTGTGCCAAGTTGAATTGTCGATTCAAGTTCGTCACCAGTCTACAAAACACCAACGAATATGGAACAATGCAAACCGACGCAAACTCTCTATGCCAAGTTGGTCACTTGAACTTTTAAAAACTCACTCCCAACATGTTGAGGCCACCACTATCATATTGTTAATGTGGAGAGTGGTGGCATAGGGGGATTAGCAACCTCCTCTTTATTCCAGGCCAAGGCCAACAACATCAGTGACAAGTGACACATCAACTGGGTCCTGGTCACCCCTTCACAAACGCATAGTGACCATCGCGGTGAAGTATCGCCGAGGCCGAAAGTTGTGTAGAGGCCTTCATCCAGCAGTGGATTTGCAAAGGACCTGTTATTAACATAATTCCATGCCATTGCACTGTCGTGTGGATTTTACCAAATAAAGTCAAGCCATGGATCGACTCTCGTAGCACGTCCCACCAGGTGCAAACACCATCATGAGTGTCACCCAAAGGACTCGTCCACAGGTCCCAGGTAATATACCTTACATTGTGAGTGATTTATTCCGGACACAATCTCTAATAGCCTAGCCCAAGCGGGGGGGGGGGGTCACACTGTTGCGAACTGGGGAAAGCACAACACGTGACCTCTAACCCCCCCCCCCTGCAGGCAGGTTTATATAACGCACACCTGATCATGATACAGTACACAAACGCCGTGTACTGCTTCGTGCTGTTGTGTACGAAGGACGAGCTACCGAGGCTTCAGTCATCATCACCAATCACGATCACCATCGCCGCGCCACCACCACCGACACAACCACCGTCGCTATCACGCGTATCTTTCGCGCACTCAGTTACGCACCACTCCTGCATGTGCAGAGGGGGTCGCGCCGTGGCTGAACACAAACAACAAGTGCAGCAGCGAGCAGCAGCAGCAGCCTGTTATAACCGTGGCCGTAACGTCCCGCACAATAGCGAAATAAAAACTTTATCCCGAACCGCTGCTCTGTATTGTGCGACACGCGGGCGGACGGACGAGCCGCCCGCTTCGCACGATTGTACCAAGCGCGTCGCGTTACTCAAAGCTTTTACAGTAACTTCGTCCTTGGATCCCGCCGCCCCCCCCCCCTATTTTTTTGCCACGGAAGCGACTGCGTGTTTCCCTCGCAGAGTTTACCACGAACTCACCGATCGGGGGGGGGAGGAGGAAAACAAAAACTTGACGGACGCTGCGAGACGTCAATGGACTTTGCGTGGTTGTTGACCTCCCCCCCTGCCTCCAAGTTGTTGTCCACCACCAACCCGCACACCGCAGACAGACGCCGAACTGCAATGGTTCTAAACGCAACGCTCCGATGAAACGTGGCCGCGAGTCGTGAGAATTCTAACCACCCCCCCTCCTCTCGGTGTTAAGACGACTGGGAGGTGCGGTCCGACACGGGTGACGAGGCACGTGTTGATGATGTTAGGGTGCCGTGCCCCGCACACACACACTCTACACACTACACACACTACACAACTGCACGTTCACCAGCACCTCTTGCCAGAGTGTGACGATCTAAATAAAAAGAGTCGTACAAAGCCAGCGACAAAGTGTAGGCCACCCGGGCATCCTGTTCAAGACCGCAACGGCGCGGCGCAGCACGTTTACGCATTTCCATCTCAGCGGCACGGTCCGTTGCCCTCTTCCCCCCCCACCACCGCCTCCTCCTCCTCCTGTTCGCAAACCTCATCGACACTCGCCTCGTCCCGACGACGACATCGACAACGACCTCGACAAAAGCCACCGGAACACGTTAATCACGCGGTCGCACGAGAGGCCTTACGAGAGTCGTCACTGTTTGTTGCGAGACGCGCCGATTACGACGACGACGATGATGATGGTGGTGATGATGGTCGTGGTGGTTGTGGCCGGCGGTGGTTGTTCGTTGTGGTGGCGGCAGCGGCGGCGTCGTTGTCGGTAGCGATAGCTGCGTCGTCGTCGTCGTCGGCGGCGGCGTCGTCGTCGGCGACTTGCGCGGCTTTAATTCGCGAAGTGCTCGAGTGGAAACTTGCCGCGAGCGGGCGGGCGAGCGGGCGGGCCAAGTGGCGGCGAGGGGACGGCGCTGAGTTGCCACGGCTCGGAGTCGGGAGTCGTCGTCGTCGTCGGTGGTGGTGGGGGGGGTTGGTGGGAGACGCGAGCGATGGTGGCGCGGGCCGATGTCGCGACGAGGCGGCGGCGTCCGGCGGTGACCGCCCCCGCCGCCGAGTAAAGCGAGAAGGGGAAGCGGCGACCACCACCACCACCCCCCTCCTCCTCCTCGTCGTCGTCGCCGCCGCACGCAGCGAGTTGAGTGCGCGGCGGCGCTCGCAACCTCACGAGCTGCTGCGTCCGCAGTTGAGAGTCGCGCGGCCCTCCCCTCCCTTCCAGCCCCGGGGGCTCCAGCCACAGCGGCCGACACAAACAGGGAGGGCGAGCGGGGAGGGGAAGGGAAAGAGGAGGAGGAGGCTGGCAGAGCGCGGGGCTCACAACACAGAAAGTGCGAACACGGCGCAAATCAGGAAGGGCGCTGCCATCTTTGAAGCACTCGCGTGTCCGGCGCCGATCATGGCCGAACGGATTATACACAGCGAGGAGGAGGAGGTGGTGGTGGTGTTGGTAGTGGTGGCGGTGGGAGAGGAGGAGAAAGCTCGAGAGGAGGAGGAAGCTGGAGGAGGAGGAGGAGCCGCGCGTTCCCCCCGTGGCGTGCGTGTGTCGTGACGGTGCCGTGCGAAGCGACGTTGGTGGGAGGAGGAGGAGGGGTGTTCGATAACTCACTCGGCAGAGCAAGGGGGGGTCGCGATCTGTCTCGGGGTGGCGATGTCTGATCCGGGACAACCACGGTGCGAATCGAGGGCAGACGATGGGGGAGGGCGGTCACTGCTCGATCCGAAGAACACGACAAATAATAATGACGACGACCCATTCGGCGATGATAATGACGACGGCGACGACGACGATGATGATGATAACCAACGAAACACGAGAGATACGCTTGAGCAGAGAGAAAAAAAACACAAAACCGACGCGTAAAACAAAGAATCGATCGAAAGTGTCGACGATGAAAGTGACGGCGACGACGTTGATCGCGACGATTTGCGAATGCGCGCACGCCGCTGTTACGCACGGCGAGACCCTCTTCTTGAAGCGTGCGCACAGGCGCAGCCCCCCACCCCCCACAGCTGCCCCTGGCCAAGTTGCCTGAACACGTGGTGGTGCGCACCTGAACACGTGGTGGTGCGCACCTGAACACGTGGTGGTGCGCACCTGAACACGTGGTGGTGCGCACCTGAACACGTGGTGGTGCGCACCTGAACACGTGGTGGTGCGCACCTGAACACGTGGTGGTGCGCACCTGAACACGTGGTGGTGCGCACCTGAACACGTGGTGGCGCGCACCTGAACACGTGGTGGCGCGAACCTGAACACGTGGTGGTGCGAGCCTGAACACGTGGTGGTGCGCGCCTGAACACGTGGTGGTGCGCGCCTGAACACGTGGTGGTGCGAACCTGAACACGTGGTGGTGCGAGCCTGAACACGTGGTGGTGCGCGCCTGAACACGTGGTGGTGCGCGCCTGAACACGTGGTGGTGCGCGCCTGAACACGTGGTGGTGCGCGCCTGAACACGTGGTGGTGCGCACCTGAACACGTGGTGGTGCGCACCTGAACACGTGGTGGTGCGCACCTGAACACGTGGTGGTGCGCACCTGAACACGTGGTGGTGCGCACCTGAACACGTGGTGGTGCGGCCGCCCCGAGTTCGTCGAGGCACCCGCGGGGGAGCGGTAGCGTAGCGGTTTAAGCGCGCTGCGCTACGAACGCTTTCGACTCGAGTTCCGATTCGATTTTTTTTGCTGCTACGCGGACGACGACGACAACCGTGGCGATCATTTGAACCGACTCAGCCTCGCGTTTCTGCCCGGTGCGATTTGTAAAACATCGCCATCAGAGAGACAAAGGCGGCCGGGCGTGGCGCTGGTCCGCCCACCCCCCCCCTCTCCTCGTGTGCCGTGCCGGCCTTCATAGGTGCTCGCTAACAGCACTTGCCCCCTACGGTCTGTTAAGGCTATACGGGGCGTCTTTGTCTTTTGTTGGAGTGTGGGGAGCGCTGCGCTACGACCACTGCGACCCGAGATCGATTCGATTCCTGGTCACGGCCGACACCTCGGGGTTAGCCGTGACGATGATCTCAACCAGTCCTGGACCTCCCCTAGGTCGACTCAGTCTCAAATTAGTACCTGTTGCGACGAGAAAAAGATAAATCGCCTCTAGGAAGACAAAGGCGGCACGGGCGTGGTGCTGGTCACCCCCCCCCCACCCCTCGTGTGTCGTGTCGGCCTTCATAGGTGCTCGCTAACAGCACTTGCCCCAACAGTCTGTGCAGGCTATACGGGGGATCTTTGTCCGTGGGGGCATGAGTGCGTATGCCCACGTACACCACTCCCCACGTCGTTGTGATCAAGGGACCCGTCGATGTGCGCTTTGACACTCGAACCAAATGTCTAGACACGTGCGTACGGGGGCATTTAATGGGAAGAGAGAGAGAGAGAGATGGGGGGGGGGGCTACATATGGCTCGATCGTGTTCTTGTTGAATGCTGTTTACAAATGTAAAAGTGGATTGCGGATTAGACGCGCGGCGTGGGGATGATTCCGCGGAGCGATGTGTGGGGTTTTTTTTCATCCGTAAAGACTTGGTGCTGCAGCAGTCAAAGTCGCGCCACTAAAGGGCGGAGAGTTTCCTTAAATATCTCGGGAGGAATTACTCCGGACACTTGGCCACCCCCCAAATCCCACTTCTCCATTTAGTATCGTCCCCTCTAATTTCGTATTGCCCCCGCCGCCTCCCCACCCCCCTTTAGTATCGTCCCTTTAGTCTCAATCACTGCGCTCCCCCCCCTGCTCAAACCGACTCCTCCATTTTAGAAGTCAGCCGAGTGTGCGTCACGGTTTGCTCCCGACACCGCATGCATGCCCGTGTGTGTGTGCATGCCCGTGTGTGTGTGTGACTGTCTGTGTGTGTGTGTGACTGTCTGTGTGTGTGTGTGTGACTGTGTGCGCGTGCGTGACTCTGTGTGTGCGTGACTCTGTGTGTGTCTGTGTGCGCGTGCGTGACTCTGTGTGTGTGCGTGATTCTGTGTGCGTGTGCGTGACTGTCTGTGTGCGTGACTCTGTCTGTGTGTGCGTGCGTGACTCTGTGTCTGTGTGCGTGACTCTGTCTGTGTGTGCGTTCGTGACTCTGTGTCTGTGCGTGACTCTGTGTGTGTGTGCATGCCCGTGTGTGTGCATGCCCGTGTGTGTGTGTGTGTGACTGTGTGCGCGTGCGTGCGTGACTCTGTGTGTGTACATGACTCTGTGTGTGCGTTCGTGACTCTGTCTGTGTGCGTGACTCTGTGTGTGTGCATGCCCGTGTGTGACTCTGTCTGTGTGCGCGTGCGTAACTCTGTCTGTGTGTGTGTGCGTGACTCTGTATGTGTGTGCGTGACTCTGTGTGTGTGTGCGTGATTCTGTGTGCGCGTGCGTGACTATGTCTGTGTGTGTGACTGTCTGTGTGCGCGTGCGTGACTCTGTGTGCGCGTGCGTGACTCTATGTGTGTGTGTGACTGTCTATGTGCGCGTGCGTGACTGTCTGTGTGCGTGCGTGACTCTGTGTGTGCATGACTCTGTCTGTGTGTGTATGACTCTGTCTGTGTGTGTGACTGTCTGTGCGTGCGTGACTCTGTGTGTGTGTGTGTGCGTGACTGTCTGTGTGTGCGTGTGCGTGACTGTCTGTGTGTGCGTGACTCTGTGTGTGTGTGTGCATGCCCGTGTGGGGAGCGGTGGTGTAGCGATTAACGCGCTGGGCTATGAACCTGGCGACCCGGGTTCGATTCCCGCTCACGGCCAACACCAGTGACGATTATCTGAACCGGTCCCGGGCCTCCCCTAGGTAGACTCAGCCTCAAATGAGTACCTGGTGCGGTGTTTAAACATTGCCACTAGGGAGATAAAGGCGGCCGGGCGTGGTGCTGGCCACCCACCCCCTCGTGTACCGTTCCGGCCTTCATAGGTGCTCGCTAACAGCACTTGCCCCTACAGTCTGTTAAGGCTATATGGGAGATCTTTGTTGTGTGTGTGTGTGTGCGTGCATGACTCTGTGTGCGCGTGCATGACTCTGTGTGCGCGTGCATGACTCTGTGTGCGCGTGCGTGACTCTGTCTGTGTGGGCGTGACTCTGTGTGCGCGTGCATGACTCTGTGTGTGTGTGCGCATGCGTCTTGCTCACCTCGGTGCGCTACCAGGCACTTGCCCCAACAGTCTGTCAGGGCTATATAGGGAGGGGGAGTACCTTTGTCTGTGTGTCTGCGAACCCGGCGACCCGAGTTCGATTCCCGCTCACGTCCAACACCGGTGACGATTATCTGAACCGGTCTTGGGTTTCCCCTAGGTCGACTCAGCCACTGAGTGAAATGGGAGTGGGGGCTACACCAGCGAAATAGGCCGCCTCCGACGCAATTCAAATCAAATTATTATTTTGTACATTTGGTATTCGCACTATTCTCAAAGCGCTTTGTTTCACAGACCATAGTATAGGTCTGTAGTCGTTTCACGGTATGCAACCGTGGAATATGCAGCGTGATGCGACGCATAGGGGCCCAGTCGGCCACAAGAGGGCCCCGAATCAACAGGAAACCAAAACAAAATCTGACAACAGTATAATTATATAGCCTTCAGATTGATGTATACGGGTTAAACACATCCGTGGCAATTTCAGTAAAAGTGAGCCGGGAGAGAAAAGAGGGAGGCCCACAGTCCTAGCTTGCGTTGCCCCGTTTAAATAAGTCCTTGAGCCGCTGACAGTGTGGGGTGATGTTGCTACGTGGCTCTAACCAAATGAGCCGTTTTCAAGTTTGGCCACCTTCGATTAGCACGAAAGAAGTTCAACACATTGTACAACTTGAACCCTGACACCGGCACACGTGGTCTACTTTTGCGGAAAAACGTCACGCGACCATAGACGTCCACTCTGCGCGTAGAGAATTTACGGTTCACAGACCCGCAATATTAACCAGGGCGGCCGCTCGGATCGAACCAATGCACATCTGCAGCAAGCGGCCAAACGCGCTGCGTCTCGACCATGTCACCGCCTTCCGCGACAAACACACCGAGTCATTCACGACCAGTGCCGAACATCAGAACCAGAAGAGTCGGGATCAGAGTTGTTTTGGTATACGCTGCATCCTCGTCCGATGTTGTCACATCCACCACACTACGTTGGTTTCCTCCCAGTGTTGTTCATTGCAAGGCCCGCGAGGCCACTGGCGGCCCCTGGTGGACCTTAGTGCGGCCCTTTGACGTGCGGCACCCGACAATATACGCAACGTGTTAAAACACATCCCATCAAGATGGCAAACCCAATGGTGTAAGATGTGTAGCGGCCCTCACTCACATCGGTGATGCCTTATCGGCGAAAGTGGGAAAACCTCTGGAAGTATGTGGTGTGCACACAAAAACCAAGTGCTTCAGATCACCAGGTCTCCTTCGGGATTGTCATCAATAGGCGTAGCTCGCCTTTCAAGTATTCTAGTGGTGGTGCCTTACACCGATAATAATCCATATTCCCAAGCCAGTTTGGCAGCGTGACTTTTTCAGCCCCTGTGCACGACACCCGCACCGCCAGAACCCTGCGCCCTGTCATCTGCACGACACCACGAGGTTTGCCTTCATTCCTTCAATCGCTCGCACGTGCGAATGTCGCAACGTTGTTCACGCTGGCACAACAACAACAAAAGACACACTGTACCGCGTGGGTAATTTATTTTGCATCGCTGTTGTTTTCCGAAGAGATGGCAGGCAAGCGAGTGTCTCGCGTTGTCTCGCAGTGGCATCCATCATCACACGTTGGTGAGTTCCCCCCCCCCCCCCATCATTGTGGGCCGCGCGTGCGCGCGCGAGTCTTTGATCTTTGTTTCCAACACTTTTTGCATCGAGATGACAAACAAAAGATAAAGTTCCCGCCTCCCCCACACACCACCACGCCTCCACCCTGTATAGCCTTAACAGACTGTTGGGGCAAGAGCTGTTAGCGAGCACCTATGAACGCATTTGTTCCACTCAGTCCTGTTGTTTACACACCGCATGGGATTTGGACGGCGAATGGCCTTTACAATTAAGGGGGGGGTCACCAAAAAGCGACAGAGAAACTCGCGTCACGCGACTACAAAATAGGTCGCCGGTTCTCTCTGCTCCATTGCTGGCTTCAAACATAACTCGGACGATTGCCCCACAGATTAAGGCTGTGGTTATTCCCATTGGAGCGTCCCGCTCCTACAAGGGGGTCGGGAGGGGGTCAGGGCAACACGGCCTCGCCGCTTCACGCAATTACAACTGTGCTGTCCGATCAAGTATGTAATCAATGACCCTACCGATTGCCGATTCGATTACTCAATCGGATGACGAACAAAGTCGGATATGTTCTCCCACGTGTACCGCTGGGCGGGAGTTGAAGTGGGGGGGGGGTGGACTTGATCAAGGTCATCATCAGCCGCGTCGTTAACACTGCAGGGCTTGTTCTCGATTATGGGGGTTTCCCAGCTTTCAGAGGGCAAGATATTGGAGGCAGCCACCAATATTTAAATTGACACGAGTATTAAATCGATTAGAAGAAAAAACGGTCGATATTTTTTTTTGTAGATTAATAGATGTATCGTCCCAGCTCCACACACGCTACATCGCGTAATGCGTAAATCGTGGACACGACGAGGGTAGAAGAAGTCCA